CATTAGCCTGCTACCTAGAAATGTTGTTTCGCCGACGAAAAATTGCGACCGCGTTTCAGAAATTGTTTCCTGACCGCCGCGGGAATTATCGATTCCATTTTGTCGAGGCGCGCGCACAAAATGGCGCGAGGATGTGTAGTTCGCGGTTGTCCCCCAGTTCCGCGATTCTAAACATCTAAACGACGCAAATTATTATTGTCGTTGTAAAAATTTACATTTAACGTTGACAGATAATTTGAACAATCGTACAGCCACCCATGAAATTGTTTGCACACTTTGGAAAATTTTCAGCTATGTGTATAGGTATGTATATAGTCTGTGTCGTAAGAAGGAAACATCTTGGTATTTCATTGAGCGCTATATTGAAATTTTACAAACAATTTGGAAGATTCGGCGACTCGTGAAAGTATTTGAACACTTCGTGCTGGAAGCTTTGAGGGGTACATTATGTGTATTATAGGAAACATTTTGCAACTTCATTGGCACAATTAGACACCATTATTACGTACGTATATGACAAGTTTCGAACAGTTTTTTGTAATACGTGTAATACTGAACATTTACACGTAAATGGCTTTCGTACGTCGATACAAGTACTCGAATAGTTCTGTAAACCCCGGTTAGGACTTACATGCTTACATACACATTTGAGAATCGTTACATCCACATCAAATATATATGGTTATATCAACGAGTATTAAAACGTAAATGAGTCAGCTATTTTTACCTTTTATATACATATATAGATTAGCAGATATGATTATTGTGGTCTCTTCTATTACTATTGCAACCATAACATAATCGAACATCGTATTCTCATTGTACGTATAAATCCCTGATTTCAAAATCCTAAAATCCCACATACGGTAGTTACAGAAAGTATTGCCACACCGTTGTATTTATTATGGCATTTACATACTAATCGATTTGGCCTAAATATATCAAATTTCGTATCGTTTAATAGTATTCTCGTATAGTTGCAAAAATTTAATACCGAGAAAATGAGATATGTGGAACGTGATAGAAAGAACGCTTCCTTGAAAAACAAGGGTGCACGCCAATACTTTTTGTAGCCACAGTTAAACCGTTAATTTTTATACTAAAATTGAACAAAGATTTGGCGTACTCAGAATGGGTACGTTCGATCGTACGTCAAAGACGTCCCTTCAGGAGCAAGATTTTTTTTTCTTTCCTTTTTTCCTTCCTCCTTATTTCTCATGGTTCCACCCTATGGTGAACAAAAGACGGTCCCATTGCGCGATTTATAGCCGCGCTTAAGAGAACCTACTTACTTCGGTTCTCGTTGCAGCCGCGGCAAATCGAGTTGACCCTTGAACTTCGAAACTTTGTTGCGAGTTGCAGCTCGAATTGGCCCCGTAACCGCTGTAACAGTACTTGCTTTCTAAATGCGCCGTCCAACCCCTTCCATCCCCTTTCTCCCTCCCTGTCCAACTACCTTTGTGTTTCATTTCCTAGCCAATTTCATCCGTCTTTCTAGAACCTGACAAATGAGTCGTCGTCACAGGAATTCTAGAGTAGTTATTCATATCGAATGAAATTTTTTGACGAAAATTTTTTGGTGTGTGTGAAATAGGGAACGTTGCAAGTGGAGAAATATGACTATATGAAATTAGGGCGTATATAATAATTAACAGCATTATTATGACTATGATAATGTAGTAATAATATGAACTATAGGACGCTATATTTAACGAAACTAGACGATGTACACTTCGGTACACAAATTTTAAAACGTCCTCTATTTCTAACTCTTCGAATCCGGACGACGTATATATACGTCTTGTATATTCCGGTAGAATTCAGGTGACGTATATATACGTTCTCTGTATTTCGATAGAATCTGTGCGACGTATATATGCGTCTTGTGTATTCCGATAGAATTCAGGCGACGTATATATACGTTCTGTGTATTTCAATGGAATCCGTGCGACGTATATATGCGTCTTATATATTCCGATAGAATTCAGGCGACGTATATATACGTTCTGTGTATTTCAATGGAATCCGTGCGACGTATATATGCGTCTTATATATTCCGATAGAATTCAGGCGACGTATATATACGTTCTGTGTATTTCAATGGAATCCGTGCGACGTATATATGCGTCTTATATATTCCGATAGAATTCAGGCGACGTATATAAGGCGACGTATATATAAACAGCATTATTATGACTATGATAATGTAGTAATAATATGAACTATAGGACGCTATATTTAACGAAACTAGACGATGTACACTTCGGTACACAAATTTTAAAACGTCCTCTATTTCTAACTCTTCGAATCCGGACGACGTATATATACGTCTTGTATATTCCGGTAGAATTCAGGTGACGTATATATACGTTCTCTGTATTTCGATAGAATCTGTGCGACGTATATATGCGTCTTGTGTATTCCGATAGAATTCAGGCGACGTATATATACGTTCTGTGTATTTCAATGGAATCCGTGCGACGTATATATGCGTCTTGTATATTCCGGTAGAATTTAGGCGACGTATATATACGTTCTGTGTATTTCAATGGAATCCGTGCGACGTATATATGCGTCTTGTATATCCCGGTAGAATTCAGGCGACGTATATATACGTCTGTGTATTTCGATAGATTCCGGGCGACGTATATATACGTTTTATATATTTTCACTGAGCCCGGGGAAAGTTTATTTGCGTAGTTATTTATTTTTGTTATTTATCAGCGAAAGGCGGGAACTGGATCTCGTGCCGACATTGGGACACTGCCGACGCTGATCGGTGGATCCTAAATTATCTCAAATTAATGAATATTGATGGGAAAATATTATTTTCGAACATTTTTGTTCTTGCCAAAGTTTCCCGGATTGAAAAGGTTAATAAAATTTTGATATTTGGTCTAATTCTAAGTTTTATGTATTTTTTCATAAAACTATTGACACGTCGCATACGCGCTTCCTTCGTCGTTTAAAATACGAAGTTAAACGAATTGTTAGAATGTATAATTCGCCCGCAACTTCTTCCAATGTCGAACAAAACATAATGTGGCTGTGGTAAGATTTTTGAGCGAGGATGTTTGTTGGCGGCTTATAATACTTAATGCTAGAGTCTGTAGTTTCATTTAATCTTCTGCTCGTTAATATTCACCTTCTGCACGGTAGACATTATCATTATTAATGACGCTTATTACGTAAAGCATAAAAGGTCAAATTAAGTTATGACGACAGAGTTTGTAGCGATTATTAAATTAAACGATATTAGTTGAACGCCAAGGTTTATCGTTTAAAATAATAAATATAGCGCGGTAGCTTGTTAAACTCGTAATTTACACAATGTAGTACATTTTGGAGAAAAAAGAAGGTTTCGTTTAATTTTATGGATTAGGAGATCGGTTCGCAAATAAGTCTATGACAATAGTGTGTGTTCGTATTGTATATGGAACTTTGAAGTTACGTTGGTTGACTGTGTGAGAAAACTTTGCTTAGACGATGATAAAACTGCTACATATACACAAAGTTACTGCAACAATGAAGACTTTAAAAGAAGTTTGAATACCATAGTCATAATAATAGAAAGACGTTGGACATTTTTATTCGATCTCAAGTGGACGATTTAAAAAGTATAAAGAGGTATTCATATAAAGTAGAAACTTCAGCATTGATAAATTCCAGAAACACGTATAGATCATGTACGATCTACGGAATAAAAATATCATTTGAATCGTCGTTATTTTAATCAATTGTATTTCCTAGATGATACACAGCGGGTTCGACTCTTTTAATGGAAACATGCAGCAAATGGCGCACGATGCTCATTACGTATGTGTTCTAATCACTGCACGACCAAATACACCGGTTTCGGCATAATGCTGATAACCTTATCGCTGACAAACAGCTTCCAAATTGATAGCCTTTATTAGGGATCCTGTAATTAAACGGAGATACGTATTTCTCGCGGTCGGATTGTTCCCCAAATTGGAAGAATTACCGAATTATTGCCATTGATAATTAACCGTTGGAAGATAGATAGGAATTTATTAATTCATTTCTCTGAGATTGAACAATTTTTGACGCGTGTTAAACGAATGTTTAACTTTGGAAGTTAAAATTAATAGAACGAAATAACTCTACCTTTTATTAATTTCTAAGTTCGTTGAATAATCTAATACGCGATTAACGTTTAATTCTGAAGAAACGAATGATAGTCTTCGGTAAGTTTATTCATTTTCAGGAAGATAATATAGGAAAAGAAGAGAAAAATGATTGAGTTACGCAGTTGCTGGAAATTATAATTGAATATTAATATATATATATCGTTATAATTGTTTTAAGAAGTACAAAAGTCAATTATTTCTTGTTTGAAGAGAGTAACTTTTACACGGTCGTTCCATGATTCTCTTCCTCGCGTTACCGACTGAAATTATTTTGAAAACTACACAAGACTTAGTTACTTTATTTTAAATTATTTTAAAAACCAGAGAAGATCGTACCAGGAGATATCATCGTAGGATGAAGGAAAACAAAAATTACAAAGTCTGCGATGAATCTTCTTGGAAGAAGAAGAAGATGAAGAAGAAAATTAAATATTAAAATTGACCAGAAATCTTCGACATATTATTATCATCAATGGCGCGTGTCGCTATTTATTTACAGTAAAACTAAGCTACAAGCCATTCCAAGTGACACAAGCGACAAGAAAATTAAAAATTACAAAAACTGGAGCGAATCTTCCTGGAAGAAGAAGATATTAAACTATCACGTAACCAGAAATCTCCGTCTATTTAGAATTAAATATGGGCAATTCTAAGAGATACAAACAACAAGACAAATCAAAATTACGAAAAGTAGAGTGAACGTTCCTCGAGAAAGAGGAAAATATTAAATTATTTCTTAATATTTACCAGTAATTCCTATTTTTATTCGACACGTCGTCATCTATCAATTTTTCAATACGTGTACTTCAAAAAAAGAAAAAAGAAATACAAACGAAAACAAGTACGTACGTTTGTAATATAAAAATCAAGTAATCCGACGTTCGCCTTTGACTCGTTCAGATAAACGTGATCTTCCTCGCACGATAACACGGATGACACTTCAACGAGGCTCAAACTTCATTTTTCTTCTCTGTTTCTCCCTCGGTTGCTTCTCTTTCGGCTCTCCCGTTTGCTCTCGTTCCTTTTCCCTGTCAACTGGTTCGTCGATTTATTATTCAACGTGGCGCGTTCACATCTGGGACGATCGGGGGATCGAACGCAGACAGGAAAAATGGTCGACGACCGGGCAGGTCTGATCGATTCGTTTCTAAACGCGTCGACGACCCAGGCATCGTTAAACGACCAGCGGAATATAACGAGCGGACGCGTCGTTTCGACGAATATGGACGTTGCACTCGTTTCTTCATAATGGCCATGTCTCCCCTCTTTTCTTTATTTTTCCCCCTCTTCGTGTTCTTCTTTTTTCTTTTTCTTTCTATTTCATGCACGTGTGCGCGAGTGTATTCAAACGAATTTGGAATTCGTCAAATTATTGTATGGAAATGATGTAATACAGCAGTAGTGGACGAAAGAATTTCCGCGAAAGAAAAAGTCCCGGAAGACGATAGATTTATATTTAATAAGAACAATAAATGGAATACACGTTAACTGTACAAACGAGTAAATATAGCGTGTACTATCTGTACAGGCGAATAATGCAAATGTGTCAGTGAAGCTGATAATTTATTTAAGAAATCAGCAAGTTGTTCGATCAAAGTACAATATCTGCCGTTGTTTTCTGTAACTTCGATACATCTGTTTTGGGTAAGCGATTAATTCCATCCTGAAGAGATGTCATGTCTTCATTTTAACGTGAAATTAAAAATAGTTGCAATTTTCTGCCACGATTTTCTTTCTTCTTTTTTCTTAGTGGCATTTTACCTTTTTAAACAGACCTTCTCAATATGTCGAAGATTGATAAAATTCGCAGATACTTAAAATTATGCACAGCGTCACAAACTTTGCTAAATATGCTTCGATTAATTTTCTCGATATCTCGCAGCACGTGAATTTCAGGGAGTGAAAATTCAGGAGAACGGCGCGACACAGTTGAAATAAACAGGGAGAACCGGGACAATGAGAGCCGGGTATTTAGTGGGAATTTAAGTTGCCCTCAGAGTGACGAAAGTTAAGTCGTAGAATGTTGTCGGACTTAATGCGAGTCCGGCTGGAAACCGCAACGATAATTTTCTCGGGCGAGCCACCACGCACAGAGCTTTCCTTTCCCTCGGAAATTTTCCGAAAACCATGTTTTCTCGCTTGCCAGCGAGTAATTTTCCGCGACGTTGACTCGATTTTCGGGCAGCAGTCTTGTTTACTAATTGAGAAAAAAAGCATGATCGTCCTTTTTTCTTTTTGTCCAAACATTCGTTTACCATCCAATTAGGTTAAGTGAAATAACGAAAGCGTTAAAATTGCCGAGGAAATAAATCGGAATAGTAAAACGTAGTTTGAAAAAGTAGTTGTACAAAAGCGTGTAACTTGGGAATTAAAAGTCTATCTATCTAAAAGTTGAAAATCAAAGTGTACTTTGCAGGATTTTGAACGTTGTTTCAACGTCACAGCCAAGTTAGAAATAATGAAAATTTTCAGCCGAACTGTGCGGACGGTCCGCTAAAAGCTCTCGAATTTTTCCAAAGATCCTTCTGAACTCCAGAAACCCTGATGCTAATCCTATCAAAGTGCAAGACCAGACTGCACCTCTTGAATTTCCATCGTGCCAGATAATCGTTCGTTTCGTCCCTTTGGAAAAATAGGAAACAAAAGTTTCAGGGAATAAAAGAAGTAGCAAAAATTAGACGAAATTTATACAGACGCTAAATCGAAGAGATCGTCAGAGAATATAAAATTGACGAAGCTCGTCCGTACGAAATATCCCGTAAAAACTCTGAAATCCCTCAAAAGATCGCTGTAAATCTCCAAAGCCTCTGGAAAGATCGCATGAAAAAGCAATAGACACTCGTACAAAATTAGACACAAAATTCCTAGAAAATTGGACACTCTGTATGACGCATGAAGCGACGATCCCATTGACCAAGACAAAAATGAAAGAGACCGACGCGAGTAACGAACGATAAAGAAATTTCATACGCCTTCAGAGAGGCGAGATCGGTATTGAACGAGAGAGATCGGAAATAATGCATGAAATGGATTTGAAAGGCGGCGCGCGATCAAATTCGACAGTGATGTAACGATGGTTCGCGTTCGTCGATTGTCGCTGATGTAACGTTGCCACCGATCGGACAAAAGTCTCTCTGTTCGATCGATGTGGCGCGATCATATCGTTGGCGGTGAATTGAAATCTCCTGGATTCGACCTCGCGTCACCGTGGTCTTTCCAATAAATTTCACCGTCTCGCCATACAGCCCAACCCCATCTCTTTCGAACGATCGTCGGCTATGATTTGTCAGGAGTAGAAGGTTATCGATACCGCGATAAATTCGGTGTCGCTTGTTTAATTGTTGGCCGGGTCGCCACGTACAAACCTTCTCGAGCTAACTGCGACACACGCGGACGCGTGCGATCAAATTGCGGATAAATGGTGGCTTTTCTATCGATGACGTGTTGCACCGTGGTTTTCCACGATAACCCCGTGGATATTGTTTTTCGCCCTTCTTGGTTTAAGAGCTTCGCATTCTATTTTAGTTTCACTTGTCCGCGGTTCAGAGTCTCCGGTATAGAAGATTCCTATACGCAGACAACGATCAATCTTTTCGCGTTGTTTCTCGATTTATTTCGCGTGCGAAATTTTGCATCGTTCTTCGAGTTGAGAGCATTAAAAATTCCCAGGTAATGGGAAAATAGGAGCAAAATAACGGGATAAGAAGGGAAATCGAACGTCGTTTATCGTAAGATCGCGGTATTTTACATCGATGACGTGTTGCACCGTGGTTTTACCGCGTGATCTCGTGGGAAGTTATTTTTGCTTCCACGTGTTTTCGATCGTATTGCGTCGAATTGCGTTGTAGTTCTCGTTGGTTCCAGTCGTTCAGAATCGAAACATGTTACAGACTCGTATGTGCGATAAAAATGAAAGGAAAAATCGATTATTGTATCGGAGATGAATATCTTCGACGGGGATGATCGCCTTTCTCTTGTTCTTCTTAAACAACAGAGTTCTGCCTCGTTGTTTGAATCGAACAGTTCAGCATTAATAAAAGTTCGTGTATGGCAGAAACTCGTGGGCGGAATATCCTACCGGAATAAAGCTAGAAAAATTAAAAATTAATTACACCGTGCGAGTAAATAATGGCTTTCGTGCTTATGACGTACCGTTCATCATAGTTTCGCAAGACGATCTCGCCGATGTTGATGAAAAGTCCAGCTTCTTTTTTCTGGGTCAAGGATTCACAGTTTGCTGCGTTAAAAATTCAAAAGAGAAACGAAGATTAACGAAATTAGACAGAGGAAAAGGAAAAATTAAATAGAAAAACAGCAGAGTGGATAAGCTTGGAAATGATCCTTAACAATTAAACGATACCTTCGTTCTCGAAATCCCACTTCAACCCCCTGAATCATCCACCCCATCGAACAAACAACATTGTTTCTTCTTTTTTCTTTTCTCTCTCTCTCTCTCTCTCAGCCTCTTTATTATTTCTCTTTACTATTTCACTTTATTATCTTACGTAACATGGTCGAACACCACGTTTCATCTGGTCGACCGTGAAAAATGAAATCACCCCTCTAATCGAGGGTGGCGACGTTATTGATATCCACGTGACGCGTGTCTGTGTGCGCACGAGACGTGTCCACAGAATGCTGAATAATTAGTACACCGAGAAATTCCCTCGAAAAGCCACGCGTTCGTCCACGGTTTTAATTAGAAAGGGCGGAGAAAGGGATGGAGGTGTGCAGAAGCAGGGGCAGGGTCGCTTTCGCGAAAAGGAGCCTTTCCACTCGGCTAATCCCGAGTTTTGCTCAAATAATTATGTGCCTGCGCTCTTTGATCCTCGTCTCCTCGCCAGATACCGTTCGTTCTACCGCGATTTGCTCGCTGAAAAAATATTTGGCGAATCAACCAGTCGAAACGGTAAACGACGTCCAGTGACAAAAATGGAATTTTTCATTAAATTAGAAAAAATGTTTTCGGGTCTTTGTCTTCGTCGTGATTTATGAAAATGTATAGCAAAGAGGATTTATCGGATCGTGTGGACAAGCTCGAGATCATTTCGTGAGAAATTCGCAAGAATGAACGTAATAATGAATTCGAAACTTAGGTTGTAATTTTGATAGTTGAACATTTAATTTCAAATTGTTATTTCTTTTGTTAACTTGACGTAACTCGATGTAAATTCTTATGTTATTCGATCAATCAATTTCTCAATTATTGTTAGTAATTATTATTTTAAATTGTCTTAGTTTTGATTACGTCAATTGTCTTTTTCATTGGGACACGTGTATTTAATTATCGTTAAAAATTAGTGTCAAAACACTTTCGATCTGGTTCCTGTGTAGTTTTATCGGTCAATGCGTGTTGTCTTTTCAACATGTTCCATAAAATTCTATTGGATTGGCAACTAAATGATTGCGGATATCGTCAATACCATCTGATGACAAAATCCGCAATCACTTAGTTGCCAACCCAATACTATCATTGCCTCGTTCTGTGCATTATTTCTGACAATCAAAACGTACTGAGTCATAGCTTCTAAGAAATAATAATAATATTGTTATAATTATATTATCGGACAAGTATCTAATAAATCGTTTGTTTTCGTTTGTTTAGGTAAGAGATGGGAGAGAATTGACTTGGAACGTAACAACTAACCAATAACCAAAGACAGTGACAGGTTGCAGCGCAAAATGCAGGTTTTTCTTTTATATATAAATATATATACTGTTAGTTTTTTTCTTGTTTCAAAAAATTATATCAACTCGTCGTCTACTAAAAATTACATGCGGCGCAGATTTGAATAAATCACCAATGAAATATTTCCAACCAGATTGTATAAACAATAGGATGGTAAACTTTTTGCGTCTTTTAAAATACGTAATTAATAAAAAATTAACCTGCAGTAGTAATTGTAATTGTTTCAAAATTATCTAAAATTAATCGTAACTAAAAGAGAAATAATAATGACAAACAAATAAATATAACGAAAAAATGAAAAATATACAGGGTGGTTACTTGAGCCCAAGTTTATTATCACAAATCGCAAACAAGTGCAATTGGGCAGAATGACGGCAAATTGTTTAATTACAACTGTAATCTTTAATTACAATTTTACGGATTTGCCCGAAGTTCCAGAGGGAAGGCTCCGGTGTCCTTTCATCTCCGACATATATATAACATAAAAAAAAAGGCGAATGAACAATAGCCCGTTCGTATACTTTATTCACAAGGCGAAGTTACACTTCAATAGCAAAATACAGACTGACTTAGTGACTAAAGGACTGGGATCTTTATCTCCTCACTATGATTCACATATCTCACGGATGGGAATCCGGCTACTGTCTATTCTCACTGCTATCGCGTGACCAGGTGTTATATGCATATCCTGAGGTCGGCGGATTCCTGACTTCTGGGCGACGTTACAGCAGCACAGTGGTTTGACTGTCCTGTTTTTGCGACAAGGTTTTCAGAACACAGATAGGAAGAGAGAAACAATATCGTATACAGGGTGGTTGGTAACTGCGGTGGTACAAGCGTAAAGGCGGTGATTCTACGCGAAAAAAGAAGTCGAAAATATAGAATAATAATTTTTCGTTCGAGGCTTTGTTTTCGAGAAAATCGACTTTGAATTTTCGCTCGGTACGCGTGCGGTACGTTATAATGGATCTCACTGTAGATCGTTGTCTCGATGGAAAAATTAAAAAAAAAATTTTTTTATTCTATATTTTCTACTTCTTTTTTCGCGTAGAATCACCCCCTTTCCGCTTGTACCACCAGTTACCAACCACCCTGTATAGATTGTAACTGTTAATTACTTAATCACCGTGTAATTTAATCGTCGCGTAAATAGATAAAAAAATAGATGGCAATTGAAAAATTCGATCAACTACTTAAGACGAGACAGAGTATCGCGAGGAGAAATAAAATAGTTCCATTACGTAAAATTGTTCGATTTGCCCTTTCGTTCAGAATGATTTTTCTTGCCGAGAACGAAAGACGAGAAAATTTGCAACGGCGAAAGTGTTGAGAAATCGGCATCGAACGATCCTTTCGATCAAATTTACAGAATACAAGAACCTATTGTCACAGACGATCAAAGAAAAATACGCATAAAAATCGACGAACGAAAGAGAAAAAAAAAGAGAAGGAATTTGTGAAACAAAGGGGAGAACCGAGCAACAACGTGGAACGGAAATCGAACGAGATATCTCGAAGAAATTCATCTCGTTGGCAAGCCAACCCGATGTAAAAAGCCATCGAAGCGACACAATAACGTTCACTCGCAGCAAGCGAATATAAATTCGACGTTTTTACGGTAGCTGTTTTTTGTCTAGCTCGTTTTGTGTGACGACTCGCGAGCACACCGGAAATAGCCTCAGCGCCGGCGAAAGGAAGTCGCCCCGCCCGGCTTTTTTTCCCCAGCGCCCTTCGTCGAGCCGCGGCCGTCGTTATTGTCCTGGAAACGCGATTTAATTATGAGCCTCCGGGCGTTGTTCGCTGCAAATATGCCGCACTGATCGCTCGGATCCTGAGTTTCGACCACGCGACGCTATTTCGCGGCTCCGCTACGCGCAAACGAAGCCTTTTCGCTTCGTTCCAACTTTCGATTATCGAAGGACGAGGCTTTTGCGATTACACGACGCTACTCAGAGATACTATCCACCTGCTACAGGTGACGAAGAGTAGACGAAGAATGGCCTGTTGTACGGTTTATCGTCCGAGGGTCGTTAGGAATTTGGAGAATTCGTGCAACGATTAAGAGAGTTGTCGGTGATTTTGAGAATCGTGAAATGAGCGCGCAAAACGTTACAGATTTTTAGAATCACGAAATAATTGGAAGAATTATTTATTTCTTCTTATTTTTTGAAATGTCTTTACTAAAATTCTCGGGGAATACAATTTTTGCAGCGATCAAAGGGGGTGAAAAGGGGTGAAGTAAGAGCATCGTGCGTATAATACAGTATAAGAATAGTATAATTTGCGAAGATAAATGCAGAAGATAAACGGATTCTATGGATTATTTATGAGAATCGTTAGGGGTGTTAGGCATCGCGCGACGATTATGGGAATCGTCGAAGACTTTGAAAATTATCAAGTAGCTCTACGCCAAGTGTTAGAGATTTCGAGAATCGTGAAATAATCGTGAGAATTATTCGAGATTTTGAGAATTGAGAAATAATCACGAGAATCGTCAGGAAGTTTAATTAATTGTAGAATTGGCTTGGTTTGAGAGGAAGATATGGCTATTTGAGAGAATCGGAATTTTTGCCACTTCGTTTTACGACATATCTTCGCGCCACTCCGTGTCTTACATCCATTCAGCCTCGTATCTTTATTGGACATTAAATTTGATTTAATCTACTACATCCGAAGTCAAATATTCATACAGATATGTGTTTTTCGATAAGAATTCTAAAAAAAAAATCCTATAGTATATCTTATGGCTCGCTACGATTTCCAATCCCCAAAAGTCTTCCTACCCATCAAAAATTCAACTGGCTATAAATTCCACTAGATCAGAATCACGTCGACAATTCTGATACTAATATCACACCAAAAGAAGATATTGCGATCTTTCACGATTTTCCATTCACAAAAGTCTTCCTGTGTCGCACTGCTTCTATTTAAAAGTCTCTGACCGACACTGTACCAGACTAGAATCATCTGGAAACAATAGCTTCTCGTGTAGATGCACACGTGAATGTTTGGTACCTTTTAAGCCTAGCAGGAGCTTCCAGGCCGTCGAATCGAGCGCGAAACATCGATTCTCAATTTGGCAACGAGCAGAAAAGCGGAAAGGCTGTTCCTTCTCATCCCTTCGATTCGCCTTCTTCTCCTTCTTCTTCGTCTCCCAACGTCCTTTCAGCTCTGTTCCCATTTCTCTTTTCCTCGTTTTCATCGATTTCGACGTCACTCAACCGTGACACGGCTTTTCCTGTCCTCGTCCTTTCCTTTTTCTTCTTTCTCCCCTCCCTCTCTCTCTCTCTCACTCTTTCTCCCTCGCGCTCGCTCGCTCCAGCTTCATCGAAGTTACGGCTTCCTTTCGACTCTGTTCTAGAAGCTTTCTTTCCGCGCCTACTTTCGTTAATGCGCCTGTCCTCGTTTGTCCTCCGCGTTTCCTCCGCTTCCGCCACCACGTTAATGCGGATCTCGCCGGCTCCAATCGAATCCTCCTTTCCTCCGCAGATATCGACGGGATTATCCAAGTGTAGTCGCCTTCCTTTTATTTCTTCGTCTTACTCTTGTCTTTCTTATCTTTAGTCTTCTTGTCCTTGTTCTCCTTTTATTTTTGGTTCATCTTCTTGTTCGTTTTGTTGTTCTTCTTCTTCCAGTATACTTGTTTTTTTTTCTTTCTTATACCTGTGTTTGTTGTTGTTGTTGTCATTACTATTTTGTTATCATTCTTACCGCGATATGAACAATTCAGTGTATGCTGTAATTAGAGTAGAAATTTTGGAGAGAATGTGAGGAAGGATTCAGACGAAACTTGTTCATTATCAGAAAAAAACACGAACAAATGGCGATTCCTCGATCTTCTTTAACTTCCTTACGCTAAGAAACTATATTACAGATCGTTCTGACCAATCCCAACTCTTCAATCCTCCATAAAGAAGAAATTCTTCAAACTTTCCCAATAAATAAAAAGAAGACAATTCGTAACTTAAAAATCATCCTGATCAATCTCAATTCTTCAATCTTCGATAAAGAAGAAATTCTTCAAACCTTCCGAATAAACAAAAAAAAGAAGGGTAAACGATTCGTAACTTAAGAATCATCCTGATCAATCCCAATTCTTTAATTCTCCATAAAGAAGAAATTCTTCAATCCTCCATGAAGAAGAAACTCCTTAGATCTTCCCAATAAATAAAAATTTAGAAAAAAACAATTCGTAACTTAAAAATCATGTTGACCAATCCCAATTCTTCAATCCTTGATAAAGAAGAAACTCTTCGAACCTTCCCAATAAATGAAAAAAGAAGAAAAAACCATTCGTAACTTAAAAATCATCCTCATCAATCGCAATTCTTCAATCATTCATAAAGAAGAAATTCTTCAATCCTCCATGAAGAAGAAACTCTTTAGATCTTCCCAATAAATAAAAATTTAGAAAAAAACAATTCGTAACTTAAAAATCATGTTGACCAATCCCAATTCTTTAATCCTTGATAAAGAAGAAACTCTTCGAACCTTCCCAATAAATGAAAAAAGAAGAAAAAACCATTCGTAACTTAAAAATCATCCTCATCAATTCCAATTCTTCAATTCTCCATAAAGAAGAAATTCTTCAAACTTCCATACAGAAGAAACTCTTCAAACCTCCATAAAGAAGAAATTCTTCAATCCTCCATAAAGATGAAATTCCTCGATCCTCCATGCAGAAGAAACTCTTCAAACCTTCGCAATAAATAAAAAAAGAAACAATAAATAAGAAACTTTTCAAACCTTCCCAATAGATACAAAAAGAAAGAAAAACTATTCGTAACTTAAAAATGATTCTTGCCAATCGCAATTCTTCAATCCTCCATAAAGAAGAAATTCTTCAATCCTCCATGAAGAAGAAACTCTTTAGATCTTCCCAATAAATAAAAATTTAGAAAAAAACAATTCGTAACTTAAAAATCATGCTGACCAATCCCACTTCTTTAATCCACTTCGATAAAAAAAAAAGTGAAGAAAAAATACCTAACGTAACGTACCAAGTAAAAAAGAAAAGAAGAAAAGAATATAACCTACAAATCTACCAATTTCTCCTCGGTAGAAAAAAGATTCCTTGGATTTTTGCATTTCAAAGAAGACAATTCATAGAAGACACGTCGGCGAAAATCCCGGTAACGAATTCCTTGGCAGAGTACGTATGTACGCGGCACGCCAAACCCATTCGCGGAATAGTCGATGTCTCTGTTTTCGCGGAAGTCGATCCGTGGCGGAAGTCGATCCGTGACGGAAGTTGTCCCCGATGCCGGTCATCGAGAGCGTTTTCCCTCCCTGTTGCGCACGAGTTGCTGGTTCTTCCTCGTAACGGCGTGTGCTCACCGAGCAGATGCAATCTGCGATTCCGGCGACTTTGATCGGCAATTGGGAAATTGCTGGAATTAGAGGCCGTGACGTCAACCGACCGGACAGTATTACCGTGATTGGACACTTAGAGGCGGCTCGAGCGAAGGTCACTTTCGTGTCCGCGGCCTTTCGTCCCGACGAAACGACGGAAAACCGTACCAGCTATCATCGTGTCTAATGTGTTCTAAATCGCCGTGACAACGTGTACCACTGTCGCGCTTCTTCCATAATTGGATAATTAGATCTGTCGGACGTGGCAGAGGATTCGATCTTGGTTTGGGCTAGAAGATGCGAAGCGAGATAGAGAGAAAGGCAGATTGGATAATAGAGTGGAAAATAGCGTAGCAAGTCGGATGATATTTTGGAAGATGCGAACGAAGTAAGAAGAAAGAAGAAATAGGCCGAAAGATAGAATGGGAATTATCACGAGATCTTTTTGCAGACGCAATAGAAAGGAAGCAATGGTAGTAGTAGTAATAGGTGTAGGTAGTGTTGCACGATGTTTCCTTGAAGATAGAAACGAACTAAAAAGAAGAAGAAACAGATAGAAAGAAGAAGTCGTAACTGTGCGAATTATTAAGAGTTTTTTGAAGAAGCGAACGAAGTTAGGCAGGGAAAATGGAGATTAATGGTTGATAAAGTGACAGCAAAGGCGGTTAGATAGTTAGGAATCGCTGTGATCGTTTTGAAAATATGAAGTAGGCGAGACAAAGACGGATTAAATTCGTAATAAAAGGAAGAATAGTGTAGGAATTATTGAGATCATTTCGAAGATACGATCGGGCAAAGAAGAAACCGGTTAAATGAAAAATAGTGTAGGAATTAGAAAGATGTGTGCTAGGTTGGAAAAAGTAAATAGAAGATTAACGAATATTAGAGAGAAAATCGAATAGTTGGGAATTGCTGCGTGACTTTTTTAAAAATATGAATGAAATAAAAAGAGCAAAAAGAAGAAAGGTAAACGAAGAAGAGATTGAAAGTAGTGTAGGAATTATTAGAACATTTTTGACCTTCACACTGTGATTCAGCAAGAACGACGATGATGCTAACTGGAAAATTAATTCGTGGTACTCTTCATATAGATCGTCTTCGGGTTAGTTTTCTGCAAGTGCTTTCTATAAGAAATTATGGTCACGGAACGAATGAACAATTTTTGTTGGAGCCTCTTAACTCTTTTAAATTTGCCACTCGATTACAAGAATAGATGTCCGGTATTGCAAGTAGAATAATTTATTTTACAGCATATTTAGAAGATATTCCAATAATTCCTTTTCCCATCGGCATTTTTTACAACTTAATTGCCACCTATTTATTTCATTTGACATAATTTATAGAAAGGAGACGACGTGCTTGCTCGGATCATATTTTCTTCCCTTCTATTCGTATCATATACCGTAGAAGATAAATTGCTAAGTTTGCCATGTTAAATATACAGCTTTTAATTACTCAATAAAAGTAACATACTACGCGCACACACGAGTCAATAGAGGTACTAAAATTGTTAGAAACAAAGTTATGTGAATCGGGCCAGCCATTAAACACGCGCAAGTACCACGATATTCGCCAACGTTCTACGAAACGATTTCTAAACAAAAAGAACACCGAGCCAAACGCAAAAGTCGTACTTTTCAATTTTGCAAAATTAAAATTCTCACGGAATACTCGAGCTATCGAAGATTAAAATATTATCGGGCTGATATAAAGTTAAATTTGCTCGTGTAAGATGCAAATATAAACGTCGATCAGACAATTTACAATCGAAATAATATCGATAAGGGATAATTAAATTAGAAATGAAACATTACCGTGTAACGCGTACGCTGCAGACAGATTTCTACGCGTATAAACGAAAAATTTGGAAATACAAAAATTCATAATGTACGTAATGTTGTAATGTAAAAATTATTCAAAGTACATACAGTTCTTTGTACAATACATACATTTCTCTGCCTAAACGTTACTATCTTCTAAATTATTTTATTATACTGTTTAGAAAAATACAAATTTCTAATATGTAATAAAGTATATTTTAATATAAGCGTACGAATATATAACAAGCGCAATATAGCAGGTGTCCGAGAAGCTCGGAACGAAACTTGTACCACGTGTTAATGATGTTAAGCAGGTAGGAAAGTTCCCATAAACTTATGTTTGGAAATGTTTTATTGAGCAGGTATAAGCGTTCGAAGATTTCCCTGGAAGTTGTTCTTGGTTTATGAAAATGCGATAGAAACGGAAGAATCCACTCGGCTTTGCGAATATATTCGAAACGAATGTAACAACTGCAGGAATATTCGATAGAGTTCGACGAATGGGAAGTCTGCATTCTTGCAGACGGAAGAAATTCCCTTTTAATTTTATTTAAGTTTATTATAACTGAAACAATGAATAAATTAATAATAATCTTTGAACACTCGTAACTCTTCGATAAAACATTTGTACGAACTGTTCTTATCTGTTTGATCTCGTTGATAGATACAAGTCCTGCTCGGACCATTTTGTACACCCTGTAGAAGAAAATGTAGTATTTGAACGCAATACGTGATATTTTAAATATACGATAAAATAAAGTGGAAGTAGAGAAAGAACGATCAATATTCGATCAAAGGAGATTGGTAAAAAGGAATGGAATAGTCGATGGAATTGGAAATTAATCAGTTAATTGAAAATGGAGAAGAAGATGTATCAAAGGCAGCAAGGTTTATACGAAATTCCCAAGTTCATGGATACCCAGTGTCGCTCAGGAGAAACTCACGAAACTCTCGATAGGAAGCTAACCTGGTGTTTCTGCCGTGCTGTCTCACAGATTCAATATTTGCCAAGCCACGTAGATGTGGAATAAATGGCACCTCGAACATTCCTCTTCCTGTTCCTCAGAATCTTATCTGAAAACATCCAGGCAACTGTGATTACCTATGAAAGCTAAAAATACACGCAAGAATTGAATCGATATTATTTAATAGAAAAAAAAGGAAGAAAATGAAGCGATGCGAAGCCTGGAACCTGTGAATGTTAAGAAATGAAGGAATGAAAATTAAGAGTCTCGTCTCATCGTCCATTGAATCCTGAAAGATGGTGGTATGAGATCGAAGTACGTAGCTTGTCCGAACCAATAGTCGGACAAAACTGTTCGGATAATGGAATTTTCTGATAATAGAAGGATCGCTTTTCTCATGTGAAATTTCATTTACACATGCTGAGATTAATTGACAGATTCTCGAAATACTTACGGACCTCATATCTTTCTGCTTGCTAAGTCGCGTAATTTTTGAAACACAGCTGACTGTTACAACACAGTTATATTCCTTTTTCTACTTGCAACCATCCTTTTTTTTTTTTTTTTTTTTCGAATGCCGCGAATAATTCGAAATGAGAAGCCACCACCTCTCCTTTACCACTTTCGTTTTCTGTTTCCATTTGTAGAAAATCGTCGTAATTATCGCTTTTATCACGACGAAACCGTCTCGTTACAATCAGACTATCTCAGCTTCTCGTCACTGTTTGCAGTATCCGAGACATTTACACGCTTCGGATAATTTTCAATATCGCGCTTTTGTGTTTTAACGTCTGTGGATTTTCCAACGTCCACAGTCATCCGCAGTATTTTTGCTATTTTCGTTAAATTCCGGCGAAACAAGGCATTTGTTATTGAAAGATATCTTGTTCAGATAACGAGGCTCCACTCTAAACGATAATTTAGAAAATTAATGCGTTTTCGCGCACACAACTTTCTTTCACTTTCCAATGTAAAATCACATCCACGTACTGTTTTACTCCGATCACTGATTCAATTGCTCGCGTTATTTTATTTAACAACGTCTGTAATTTATTCTAAAAATCCCGTTTCTTTTTTCTTTTTAACCTGCCGTTCGACAGATACTTAGGTTTATACTACTTACGATTTCGCCTTCGTATAATAGTAGTTCACGTTAGGAAAAGTGAATTCAGTGGCCAGAAATTTACTTAGTCCCGCTAACTACAGTTTTGTTTGAACAAACGGAGCGCGTTCAAACGGATTAATTACTCTCTAACAGTTAATCGCATTCGCATCGAACAAACGAGTCGCGATATAAATCGAAAACGCATAATTAATGGGAAACCAAACTAAAAGCCGTCGTTGTAATTACCCAGAATGTTTCAAAATGAAGATTCCTATCTCCGAGAATCATACTCTTGACAATTACGCTATCGAATGTTGCCCATTAGAAAATATTATTTCGACTTTTTATTTATCATTCGATAGGTAGATGAAAATTTTATTATTATTATCACTACTAAATACTAAAAATACTATTACTAAATATAATATAAAAATATATCAATAAAAAGAAAAAACTCCTTGGAAATTGGAAGGAAAATTTCCCAAAACAGATACGGTATAACTAATAACGAAACGAAAGAGAACGTAACTAATAACAAAACCTTTGTCTTTTATCTCTCTGCTTTCATTCCCTGATTCGTAACTCGCGCGTATGCACGCACAAAGAGAACGTTAGAACGAAAGAGAAAGAGAGAGATTCAAGAGAAGGAACGAGAACCGAAGGCACGTACCGCTTTTTCAGATGCAAATTACGCCGGTTGCACAATAATAATCGCAGGCTGTCGTCGCGGAAGCGCTCGCGCGCCAACCACGAGCTGCATTTGAATTAATAGCGGACAAGCCCCTTGGTCGCGAAATCATGTCTGTATAATTCTGATCCTGAACCGGCAACGACCGGCAATCGCCAAGATCTGACTTGCCAGCTGTCATGTCATGTACGCCACCGAAACCGATTTCACGTTTCCACTCTTCTCAATGACAAATAACAGCGTCATCGTGATACATATATGGCGTTCAATGCTTTCTTCCATAATTTTGTCGCGGCACTCGACAGCAATCTTTGTCGGACGACGGCAGTGTCACGTAATAAATGACGAGGTAATATATATGTCGGAGATGAAAGGCTACGTTCGGCGACTGATGGTCTCCTTGAGCCCAAGTTTATTATCACAAATCGCAAACAAGTGCAATTGGGCAGAATGACGGCAAATTGTTTAATTACAACTGTAATCTTTAATTACAATTTTACGGATTTGCCCGAAGTTCCAGAGGGAAGGCTCCGGTGTCCTTTCATCTCCGACATATATATAACATAAAAAAAAAGGCGAATGAACAATAGCCCGTTCGTATACTTTATTCACAAGGCGAAGTTACACTTCAATAGCAAAATACAGACTGACTTAGTGACTAAAGGACTGGGATCTTTATCTCCTCACTATGATTCACATATCTCACGGATGGGAATCCGGCTACTGTCTATTCTCACTGCTATCGCGTGACCAGGTGTTATATGCATATCCTGAGGTCGGCGGATTCCTGACTTCTGGGCGACGTTACAGCAGCACAGTGGTTTGACTGTCCTGTTTTTGCGACAAGGTTTTCAGAACACAGATAGGAAGAGAGAAACAATATCGTATACAGGGTGGTTGGTAACTGCGGTGGTACAAGCGTAAAGGCGGTGATTCTACGCGAAAAAAGAAGTCGAAAATATAGAATAACAATTTTTCGTTCGAGGCTTTGTTTTCGAGAAAATCGACTTTGAATTTTCGCTCGGTACGCGTGCGGTACGTTATAACAGATCTCAGTGTAGATCGTTATCTCGATGGAAAAATTAAAAGAAAATTTTTTATTCTTGTTGAGATATGTATAATTTTCTGTGCTGGACTGGGTTAACCGTGTAGTAGAGATACTTGTATGTTAATTTTCTGTGTGTGGAGGTATGTGTGTGTAAACTAGTCAGTCGGTTAACAGTCGGGTATAGAAGAAAGTGCCGAGACGCGTGCAAGTGTGTATCGATGAATATATACGAAATCGTCCATGAAATAAATACTTTACTATTTTAATATTAATCCTCAGTATAAAATTAGTGCTCCTATAACATTATTCAAAGATCCACAATTCTCAACAATTTTATATTTTAGACTACCCTGTATAAGCACCGCTCTACATCGACTTAAATCTTCTTTCAAAATAGTAAGCTGAAAAATGTAATTTCGACACACAAAACGTTGTATGGCTATGTCGTACCGTCACGTATCGGTACGTTTGCCTAAACCACCCCACAACCCAAGTTCATTGTTTATTGTGAACAACATTCAAATGCAATACTCATCTACTGGTCAATAAACGTTATAAAAAAAAAAAAAAACAGCGCAGTGGTTAGCGCCTTAGGTTACGAACGTTCGGGACCCGGGTTCAAATCCCGACGACCGTAGTCCGATTTTTCATTCCACGGCATCAAATTAAGAAAAAAAACCAGCAGTACCTCAGCAACGACATCTACACCAACAGCAGAACCTATCTCGGTCTCTACACCAGCAATAGCACTATCACCCACAACTATATCTCCACCTCAATTTCTTCTTCTCTCTTCCTTATTCGTTCTCTTGACATGCATACGAGTTGTTTATTCGACCAGTCGCGGAGAGACGCGATCGCGAGGAAGCGCGTCAACGGGAGTCGTAAATTCCCGTTACGATTGGAATAACCTACGCCACGAACAGAGATCGATCGCCTATTTCGGTTAGGATAATACAGGTGGTTGAATCAGTATAACGCTGAGATTAACAGATTATAATATATGTTTCCAAGAACTTTGTAGAGAAGATAGCTGCGCTGATGCGTTAGATATCCCACAGTCAAAGAAGAAATATACAAGTTGAGAAGCAGATATAGCACAAGAGTCAACAACCACCACAGCCCATTAGTCACCCAACTACTTGACACGACGGACCAGATCCGCAGACTCAAAAGAAAATACCCTTTAGATCGAAGCATTAGATCCAACTAGAATCAACATAATGTAAATTATTATAAACCAAGTTATTGTACCACGCCAAATGAAGTTACTTAAAATTCTCGACGAGAATTGATCGTAAATAATCTACCAAATAAAAAAAAAAGGAAAAACGCTGTTGCGTTAGGTATGAGAGAAGTAGGTGAATGATTGACAGGTGGAAACCCGGTAAAGAGATGTTGACTGTTCTAAATTCGGTGAATCAGTCAACAGATGTCGACTGATCTGTAGTCGTAGATCCAGTGAAGTCCGGTGACGATGCTGTTGCGAAGGAAAACTCTCGTTCGATGGTGATCGCCCCACCACTGGTCGCTTGCGGGTGGTATCCTGGAAACTTCTATTTTTACCTGATGGAGCAATAACCATAAGGAACCTCTTGACTGGAAGATGTTTTATGCCAATTGACGGACCTAACGGTAAATCAAAAAGCCTCGTTTTATGACATTTCCTTAGGATTATTGCGGTCCGTTTAATTCTATGTGCACAGCTGGTGGCCGCCTCGAACGTAAAGAGTCACCGGACGTAACACGAGCATATTATGGTGTAGAGTATGTTGCTATGTATGTGTGTATGTATGTACATATTAGGTTGTCCGAAAAGTTTCTTTCGTTTTATACGGAAATAATAGACGCGCAATGTTTTTTGTTTTATATTAGTTTATTGAATTGTGCACGAACGTGATAATACAAAAATTATATAAAATAATAGAGGATGATAATAGAAATATAACGAAATGGGTCATACCTAATACAATAAAATAATATAAAACAGAAATTGTTGTTCATTTATTATCAGCTTTTGAAACGAAAGAGACTTTTCGAACAACCTAATATATAGGGTGTCCATTAGGTCTTTTCTTCATAGATGTAGGCTCGTTGATAGTATAAATAGAAATAAATAGAAAACACACAGGCGTGTATAATTTGTAAAGTCAAACTTATTTTGTAAATTCTCCATAATATTAAAAGTAGCTTAGTGTATTTTACCGATTCCTTTAATTTAATTTAATTTAAAATTTCATTTGGATTTCTTCGATTTAAATTCAGCGCTAATTCTGTTTACTTTGGAAGATCACTAAATTCAGTATCATCTGTGAATTGATAGATTATGGCTTGTAGATTAGTACGCAATTATTCTCAAGTACTTTCGCTTATTCTACCATGAAAATCAGACTTGACAAATCGGAAGCAAAAGTTTACACGAGCAAAGAACGAGAAAGGGAGAATATTTTTAGAAAAAATTACCAATTTGCTTTGATATTCTTTTGAGAAGATTCAGAGACGAGAACGATAATCTCAAAGCAGCAACGTTAAAACGAAAATAAGAAATAACGACGCGAGATCTATAATCAAGAGAACGGTATATAATTTTCCAGCCAATTCTTGGCTTTTCTCGGTCCATTAACCCTCGATCATCTGCACGGCGTCCATTCGATTCGATTCGACAAACTGGCTTAATGTAAATGCAACGTCGCCGTGCCAACCTCGAATCCCGAAACGATTTTCGTTGTCGCGGTCACCGACTCGCCATTGGAACCGATTCAAATTTATCGCTGGCCCCAACAGAGATTTTTCATTCTCCATCGGATCTGTATTCCCTTCTGGGAAGAAATGCTCGCGGAATGTTAATTGCGACAAAGAAAAACATCTCTACGTAGAACGTTTCTAATGCATTGGAGTCTTTTTAAACAGACAAACCTACTCGATTCCGTGTAATTAAATATTATTCGATCTTGCAAACACGTAGTGGCAAATTATGTATTTTTTTTTTTTGCGATCAAATGAGTTTATTGTTAACGTTAATGAGTTTATTATAAAATAATTCCATAAATAAGTAAATAACATTTCTACGTGAAACATCAAATTGGATTCATTAAAAAAAAAAAGTTGAATAATAGTTGTATGCATAAGAACATGTTGGTTTCTGCGAAGCTTAATTTCTTTTCTCTTTCTATCTCCTTCATTAATATTCTTAATGGTCGAGCACAATTAATTACATTTTTTCAACGGTTTAAAAAGAATCGCGCGAACTCAGATATAATCGAGCAACTTTACGCGCGTTTCTCGAGAAACTCCCTTTTTTGGTTTAATATTTTCCAAACCGCAAGAAAGACATTTCCAAAAACAATTTTAACGCGTGCAAATTGTCAGAGAATTTTTATCAATCTTCATCCTGATACTTTTGAATAAACATTTATTTCTTCCAGTCTATGTTTCTCTGCCTTTAACAATATCAATAATTTCGATGTATAATGCATTGTCAATTCACGTTCAGGATTTTTTCTGTACAAGAATTAACGATTACTACATTTACATAACTCGTAGGTGATTATACGAATGTAATTGACGCTGTGGAATTACAAGAAATTATTGAAAATTAAATTCCAATATGTAAAACACGAATCTGTAAATATCTGTTCCATTATCGATACAATTTCGTATCGAATTAACTTACAAATATAATCTCCTTCTCGTATTTATTTTCTATTCGATGAAATTTCTATCTGCATTTTAAAAAGCTCTCACATTTTCTTTTGAGTTTCCGCGTATCCGTTTAAACGCGCGTTTAATAAGATATCCCGCACATTAGAACTTAATTAGATAGCGTAATTGTACTCTGAATTTACCGACGCAAAATTAACAAACTCGATATTCGAGAACAGAGCGTCCGGGAATATCTCATTTTAAAGCTCCGTCATCTTTTTACTATTGGCTTGGCCACTAAGTGATTGCGGATTTTATCCATACCGCCTAATGACAAAATCCGCAATCACTTAGTTGCCAATCCAATGCAAGCAAATAATTCATCTTTCTTGGTCTCGTCTTATTCCACAGCTAAAAACGAAGTTTATCAGACTCATCGGCTGTACCAGTGATTTTATCAGACTGCTTTTAACACTTTACCGACCGATAGCCGATTAATCGGTTTTTTGTAACCAACGCTTACTAACCGATAGCCTATTAATCGGCTTTTTGTCGCCGACAATCTTTCTCGTTATTTGAACAGTAATTTGTCATTTAGTACTAAGGTACCTTGCTCAGTGGCGTCAGTTGCGTTGCTTTGTGAGCTGCCACAATTTTATACCAATTTGAAGAACGTACCGTTCGCGATGAACAAGAAGAATGGTATCGGAGAGTCTAAACCGAAACAGAGCCGGCGCCAGGGAGAATCGGCGCCTGAGTTGCCGGGCGTATGCTGTTGAATCGCTAGCGATCGGTAAAATGTTAAATATCGTGACAATTTATAAACGAAAGGAAGTTTCATCATTGAATGTCTGTGAAACACGATACCAGCGGATATCATTTTTCAAATAATTCCTCGATTACCAGCAGTCACTGCAACTATTCTATTTCTGTCGTACGTGTGTACATAGTGTATGAGTCTGGGTAAATCGGAGCAGTGTTCTCTCTCGAGTCTTCTTGGTACGTTTGTTAGAGTTTAGCACAATAGCAGTTACACTTGGTAGCAGTTTTTAACGAATGGGTTTACGCGATTTTTGTATGTTTGTATGATATTTTTTTTTTTTTTTTTTTGTATGTAGACATGTTTCACGTTCCACTTTTCACGTTTTCCTTGTATCGTAGTTTCTTGCAAACCACCGTGCATGCAAGATGTATCATAAGACGATGCATCGAAGGTTGGCCATTTTTTTGATGTTTCGCTTGGCTGCCACGTCCCGCATCTGTAATCCATATGTTCGTATTAGGTTTAATAATGATTTTTGTCGCCGCGCAACAACACGATCGCGTCTTTTCAAATAGCTTCAGTAATCGACCTTTGACCTTTAGTTTATGGCCAAAGGAAACCCGACAAGGCGAGATTTTTTGGAATCAGCACGTCCTTTTTTCCTTTCTTTAAACTGACTTATTCGATTGCCTTCGATTGCGAATCGGTCGAGGTCAAATGCTCACGTCGGGGCTCAAACCGATATCAAGTAAAAAATATTTTCTTGTAAATTTGTACATAAAAATATCAGCTATCGATTGGCCTTTACGCCAACTACGATATAAAATTAAAGAGATGATTCCATTTTTCTTTTTTTCCTTTTTTTTTTTCTCTCTTTGAAGAAGGAAACACGCTTAGTTTCCAGGGCCATTTTCGGACGGTAGAATTAAAAAATGTCACTTCATTCGAAAGCGTACAGGATACTGTACAACTCCTGAAGAGTGGAAAGCTGCCTCGTAGCCTGCTGCGCAACTTGTCAAAGCTGTAGAAATGAACTTCTGCGGAGACGCTTTTAAGAGAAATAAATAGCTTCGTGCAAAAGGCAACAAAAATTCCAAGCGAAAATTTACCACGCTTCTTTCTCACTGCGAACACCATATTTTACCCAAAATTTTCAAGCCCTGCATTCAAATCTTGCTGAGCAACAAACGCGTGAACAAGAAGACCTATTTCCACGGTTTCTATCTTTTTCCCTTTTTCGAGTCTCATTTTCTACATCTTTCCGTTGCTTACGTTTCTCAATAGAAATTTATTTCTGTGCAATCATTGTGTTTCGTTCGATACGCGGAAAGCTCGTTTTTTCTCGTTTCTTGACAAACACGTACAGCTTTTTGCGAATTTCAAACGTATACTTCCCGTTTCATTTCATTTCGCATCAGGTTGTTCCAAAAGTGGTTTTCTTTTGCAAACGCGTCTTTCACTACGTGGTCTTTTTGATTGTTTTTCCGGGTGTAAAGATTAACAGGACGATACTTTTCACGGTTAATATCGACCTTATTGGCCTTCGTACAGCTTTTCCGTTTCGTGCGAATGCGTTCGTGGAATTTCCCACGATCAATGGTACAAATTAATTTCACGAGGTTTCGGTTAGGAACAGCAGATTTTTGGAAATACCGGGAATATTAAAAATAATTCTAGAACGTTGGAAATATTGGGTTTCGCCGACGACTCGCCGTTTAAATCGATATAAATGGACAGATAGATGAAAACATTGGCAAAGATTGATAAAAATACGTTCGCGAAAGCTTAATCCCGATAAAACTTCCTAAAATAATAATTTCCCATATTGCAGATTTTCTCTGATGGCGCAAAGATTTGCGGATTAAATAAAATGATTAAATAATAGAAATTCTGTTGCGTGGGGATAATTGTGAGAAATTGAAGGAATAATTTTGTAACGTTCGTAATTTCCATTTTTTATAAAAATTCGTACGTAGTTTGCAGATTTCTTTTTTTTAGTGAAATATATTCAAAAGATAATTATATCGGGAAATTTTATTAAAAATAATTTCTTGCCACGATTAGGTCGTTATAAGTGGAAACGATGAGATCGTTATACGGATCCTCGCCATAAAACGGAGATAATTTTTTTAATGGCGAAATGATTGCGAAACGCTCTCGACCGATATTAGCTTTGCGCGGATTCGAACAACGTCGTATAAATCTTTGGGAATTCCTAACTATCCTAAAACAAAAG